TGCAAAAGACACATTAAACCGGTCAGTTAAAACTATCCAAAAGTTAGAAATGTCAGGACCAGAGTCAGAGCTCTGTTATTTCATCTCATGTATGCACTTAATCCTACTTCAGCAAGACTTCTCTGACAGGGTTTTCTGTTTGCTTTATACGATGTACACTCCATTTAGCATACAGGATTGGTAACGAATATGTGAAGAAGTGCAGAGCAGCAGAAGGTTGGAAGCATTATCCAAATACCAAGTTCTGCAAGGTGCTGAGATACTTCCAGCTATCTTTGGAGACAATTGTTGAGTTTCATTCAAGACCTACTCTGAATGTAACACTGTAGTAGTAATATTATTAGAAGCCAAATATTTTTATTTGATATTTTATTGAAGAATTACTATAGTAAAACTTCAACATCAAGTCTCAGGGACTTATGGTAACTAAAAAAAAGTTCGCTATTTAGTATTAAGGCAGTGAATTCTTTCATCATTTTTTTGCTTAGTTTAATATTTTCATCTATAAAAGCACTATTGTTTGGATTTATCAATACTATTTAATGAGATTCTTTAAGCAGATACCTGATGTTATAGAATTAGAATTTTTTTCAGATGGAAGAAGTAATTTTCTTGAAAGACAAGACAAATTTTAATTATGCCATCCATCTGATTGTTCAGGCTGCCTCCTATAAAACTGCTAATTGGGGTAACGCATTCCATCAGAATAGAAGTTTGGTGTCTGCCTAAGCAGACGCTCACTTTTAGCTCCATGGCATGATTTTTCTAAGAACCCTTCCACAGCTGGGAACAACTGGGTGTGTCACCTCTAAAGAGCTGGGCAAGGAAGTGCTTAACATTTTTAAATAGTAACCACGCTGACAAATGAGAGTCACTAAGCTCCTATTACATTTTTACTTTGATAGACCTAAAAAAGAATCAAATGAAGTATTAAGACAACTTTCATTACTATAAAAAAAAAAAAACCCACCAACCAACCAAACAAAAAAACTAAACCACCAAGCTGCTGGGCTTTAAAATAACAACTCCTCTGATTAAAAAGAATAAGATCCTAGGCTATCAAAGAAACTGAGAGAACTGCAGAGGGACACATAGGCGTTTACACAAATAACTAGCCACGAAACATGAAGATATGCACATGACTGCCGGACATGGTATGCGAGGAATAAATCCATCTGGATAATCTTTATTGGAACACATGACACATTACTGTACTGTACCATTGAACAATAACTTCTGCAGATTTACTGAAAGACTGAGCTATAAATCTCAGACATTAATCCACACTTTCATTTTCTTTGGCAGCAAAGAAACCATCCATGCCAGTATATTTTTCCACATCACCCCACTACTAAGCTCATCGCTGATCTGGCAAAGCATAAAGTTTGCGAGGCTTTGAATAGCAACCAGTAATTCTAACCAGCCCTCTTCACCCAAACTTCTACACAAGAAAATTTTAAGGAGCTTTTTCTTTGCAAAAAGGATAATCACATAATCACTCGGAACTGAGAGTCTGGATATTTAAGAAGATTCTTGCCTCTCCTGTCCCAGATACTAGCAGTAATTACAGAGGAGGGTTTCATGTTATGCTTGTGCATCATCTCAGTTGCAACAGAAAACAAAATACAAGTGAAAGTTGCAGCCTCCTTACCAGATAGGAAGATTATTTTCCTAGTGCAGCTTCTGTTAAGCCGTGAGGAACACAGGGGCTTTACCTTAACTCAGGTGACACAAGAACACTACAGCACGTACAGATAAAGAGTTTGGTGTTTCTTAATGGCTTGACATGATTGTTGATGAGACAGAAAGACGGAATGCCATCAGCAAAGGCACACTGAAAGGCAGCAAGTACATTCACCAACGAGGTACAAGGAGGAAAATAACTTTTCCTGCTGGGAAGGGAGCCTGCCCAGGAGGGACAGGACAGTGGTCTGAGATGCCAACAGCCTGTGGGTGTATGGCTTCCCCCAAGGCAAGAAAGAGGTGGTGATACTACATGCAGCTGCCAGGCAGCAGAGACAGGAGGAAGAGAGGGGACACCTCTTCACAGAGCACATCATCCTCAGATGGGTGGTGTTCCTCCTGCAGGACCAGCCCAGCACCACAGACATCAGAGCAATTAGACAAGCCTACAGAGAGCCAGGCATGGCAAGGACAAAGATGCAACCTCCCAGCCAACGTCAGAGACTGGTTTTGCTCTGACATTAAGATGACAACTCTCACGTCCTCCTTAGCAACAGAAGAGGATCCACCTTTTTAATGGTTCCTTCCTCTTCTCCATTTTCCACATAGAAGGGAAATAAGGCATTTTCTGATGGCTGGCACTAGACACGCGTATCCCACCAGTGCACTGTTCTCAGCCATCCCAGCCTGAAAAGCCGACTGTTTAAGCAACAACTCATTTAATCTATTTTGGGTAGATAAAAAGCACGCGCTAACGGTGGTGCAACAGCAGAACACAAGCACGAGGTGTCAAAATACACACTGCTCCAGGCACACGGTAACGTTACGCTGCACAACCTATCGCAGCTGGTGGAAGATGTGGGCAATTAGCCTCAGGTGGCAGCGGCAAAAATGAATTTGCTTAAGAATGTCAGACAGTCAATAATGAAATGCAATCTTTTACAGAAATCAGCACATAAAAAAAAAGAAGTTTTCCCTCTTTGTGGCAAGAAATGATTTACTTTTAATGCGGAGTCCAAGGTTAACGGAGGACAACGCAAAAGCAAGACATGAAACAATATCCCTTTTCCGAGGCCTGGCATCCTTCGAGTTTTGAAGAAATTTGTAACTCAGCTTAAATATATGAAATGCCTTATTTCTATTAAATAACAATAATTAAAAAATAGATCAGACAAACTCCCTGATCAGACAGCATTTCTCTCCTGACACGCATATGACTCCCTCTGGAAACCCTCCAAAGACCAGCTTGCCCTCTGGGTAATCAAGTAACTAACTTTTCAATGGAGAAAGTTATCTTCATATAACTTATTTCCTTCATTTCTTGAAATAGAACTTTCCTCCTCTCCCTCCTCAAACTCCTACACACATCAAAAATGTGCTAGCATAGTTAGGTAACCACTTTACAGTATGCTCAGATACAGAAGTTTTGAGTTACTCTATAAGCATTTTACACACACTGTGGGACCGTCATATGATATGTAACGTGTGGAAAATCAAACTTAGGCTGAAACAAATTAAAAGAGCATGGCTACACTGCTGGCAGCTCTTTCGATTCTTAACCCAGACCCCGGATTCCTGTCCGTAAGGAGTGCTCAACAGTTAAATCTCAGTTTTTGAAAATACTAATTAATCCACTGCCGAGTAGGTATGATGTTAAAAACCCCATTGCCTTATCACGACTTGGAATTCCAGCCTCACTTTCTGCTCCCAGAGCCAGGAAGGGAACAGGCAGAGCTGAAAGGACCCCAAAAAAACCCCAGTTACAGACCCAGTGGACGCGTTTCATGGCTGACCTCACTTGGGCACCGTGGTTAACGTAGGGACGAGTTGGACAACATACCTTGCACAACAGTTTGCTAACTCGACCTCCCCTGGGGTTTCAGCTCGTCGCTATTGACGCTGCCGAAGACCAGCTCCTCTGCCCGCCTCCAGCCCTTCCCAGCTATACCCTTCCAGCCAACCTCCACCAAAAATAACTTCAGCCGGGGTTCTGCGGATAATTAAAGCATGGCAGAGGTTACCAACCCTCCAGCTTTTGGCACGACACAGGAGCGAGCAGGGTGAATATGGGCGTCCTGGAAACGCGCCAAGTCCCTAAACACCACATTAGTGAGAAATTACGTTTCGGGTATGAGTCAAAGACTGGAAAACGCCTTGCCATCTCAAGTATCAGACCTCGGAACGGTACGAACTTTCATTCTGAAACCAGGCAGAGAGTATGTCAACACGCTACCACCTGATCCACCTACAAGAGATTTCTTTCTAATTAAAGCACTTATGTGTAATTTCACAATTTTTTTGTTATTCCACAATTATTTTCTCTTTCTTGTATTTACAGACGGATTACTGCCTATTCCTCTTCGATAAAACTGGCAATTTAAGACAGGAATCAATTTATCATTTAACCTGACAGGTTTCCAGCAAAACTGACTAAAGCTTCTATTTTTATTTTTATTTTTTTAAGAGGCTTAACAATAAATTCACTCGTTGTACCAACACAATAAAATCAGCTAATACTGTAACAAAGCAAGATGCCCCCAAAAAAATTCTTTCCCACAGCACATTTATCTTAAAACACCTGTTAAGTGTCTATATAGACACTTAGACACTATATAAACACTCCACCTGAATCTCTCAGAAACTAGAAATGAATCTGGTATTTGGAGACACAGCAGTCCTGAAATTTGAGAATCCCCTAATTATATTTCAGAGCCAAACCACTGCTGTTTCACAGGAAAACTCTTTTCTCTGCAAGCATGACAACTGCTCTTTGTGCAATTCAGTACTTGGTTTCTACTCACACACACTCCTTGACAGAAGATGTGACATTTGGTGACAAACACCCTGTTAATACTCTGAGTGGTAAGACCAATGGTCCTTTAGGTAACCCCATACCCGAGCCTCAGAGCCATTCAGCTAAGTCTCAGAAGCACCACCTCAGCCTTTCAGGTTTTACTTGGAAAATCTCAAAGGGAACAGGGAAGCATTGCTTTCAATATCATTTAGCAGGTAATTTTGCTCCAAGTACACAGTAAGTTGAAAAGCTTCCCTCTCATATATTAAATGCTGTAAATATTCATTAACAATTAGTTCGCTTGTGAGGCATAATACCACTTCATTTTTTCAATTAGATTGGTGCAATCTTATCTACAAGCCTTAACAATGCTTAAACCCTCACCACAGTATTCAGAACTGCTCGTACCAGATTAAAAAAAAGAATTTTCCATAGGCAAACATTTAAAAAAGAAAAAAAGAAAAAGGCTGCGAAACAGCTTAGGGGAAGGAGGAAAAGGAAAAAACAAAACCACAAAACTCACTTGACTGTGACTCGATTGGACAAATCCTGAAGATCTCCTGGGTGAAAAAGCTGAGCTTCTTTCAGTCCAATATTTTCGCACGCTTTCAGGAAAACATTTATATTATCCTGCGAAGAGAAGTAGAAAGCAGTTGCTCAGTTAAAAGCACTAAGCAGGTTTTGCAAGATGATTAGTGCGAGCCTTTAAATGTCAAAGTCCAGCTCACGGAAATAATCCTGAAAAAGCAATCTTCTGGATCATAAACGCAGGTGGTTTCTCATGCAGAGGGGCAGGCTGGGTTGGGATCTCGGCGGCCGAGGGGTGCGTTAAAGATTACCTGGCACAAGGCAGCGGCGAGCCAGTAGGCAGCAATCTCCACTTTGATGTCAGCCCTGCTCAGCAAACAAACGCCCTCTTCCCAGCTTTGCACGACAAGCCTCACCTCTTGCCTTTAAAAATAACTCCGGCTACTGACATTCACCACCCAGAAACTCTTGGCAGGGGAGGAAGGAGAGGAGGGGACGCGCCGTTTCTATGCTCGCAGACCGATGAGGGAATGAATACTGCACCTGGAGCCCGGGTTTGGTTGCTGAGCAAAGCTCCAGAGTGACAGAAACCAAATCGTATTCAGCTCTGCTCCTTCCTTACTTAGAGGGGGGGTTTCCCTCCTTTGCGTTCCTCCCCTTCCACTCCACACACCCCCCCCGCCTCCACCTCCAGCTCACACCAATATATTAAATAAAACATAGGTGTGATGTATTGCAGCACCCACACACTGCACCTGCTGCAGGTCGACCGAACGGCGAGAGCAAGGTTAAAAACATAAAAATAAATCCGACGATATAGAGAGAGATTATACAACTTGTGAGCTCTTTCCACTTCATAAACAATAGGCAAGAAATTCCTTCTCGTTAAGGCGGAATGCTATCAACAACAAAAGAATGTGCCCTCTCCCTTCAGCTGGAAGCCCCAGGAAAAGGTACACAAAGTTACTTCATCCAGAAGCTACGCACAGCCCTGTCACTCGAAGGGTTGGTAAGTCAAGGTACTGGCATCAGAGTTTCACAGTACGGAAAAACTCCCCTTCACCAATTTAATACACTTCAAACTTTTTCTTTTTTTTTTTATAAACATATATTCACTGGATGTAACAACTATTCCATCATTTTTAAAATGTATTTTTATAAAAATTCTGGAGAGAAAACAGTAGCTGCTTCTCCCATAGACTTTAAAAAGTAAAACAAATACTTAAAAAAAAAAAAAAAAAAAAAAAAAAAAACAAACGAAAAAATCCCCCCAAACCTTCTGTTTTGAAGGGCCCTA